ACTTATACTTAGAATGACTGACCAATGCTATGGGATGTCAACATCTGGACTTTTAAAGGGGGAGCTCATCCTGGTTATGAAGTTTGCTTTAAAGACAAATAAAATAGACTGATTGATTATTGAACATTTGAGGACAAAGGATAAGAAAGTTAAATTAAATTTTGGAAATTGAAATGAATCAAATTATCAAATGCATTGCGACATCTGTGTGACATACTCTGTGAGTACCACTCCTTTTTATTTAGAATTCTTAATTTTTCTGTTTTTTCTAAAGTTACTAATGTTCACACACCCTTGATATATATCATTGCACTACCAAATTATTTTATTAAAGTATTTTAACGACATGAACATTTTAACTCAAACATTGGGAGACCAATTAATTTCATGAAGTTTCATTCCCATAATTAAAGTACTCACCTAACTTACATTGTAACTATAGTTACACTTACATGTACATGTACATGCACATCAGCTGCGTTTACACTGTAAGCAACAATTAAAGATATAGATCACATTCTGGTGTTTTGTCTGTAATTTCTAAGCAGCTACTGGCAAACCCAACGATAAACCACAATTAAAAAAAAACCAACTCTAGTGTGTGTTTTAAAATCCTCACAGAAATGTCACAAATTTTTGTAATGTAAATGCCCGCTCTCGAAACATCAGTGATTGACTCTTTTTTTTCGCCGTCTTGTGACTCAATCTCCTCGCTTCCGTGTTATCGCATGCAGAGCAGCGACAAGTCAAAATAAGCCAACACCAAACTTTTTTAATGTTTTTTTTCCAGTAGTGTGAATAGCAATAAAAAAAAAAAATACAATTTTTAAAGTGATGTTTGGGCTGTGGAATCTTTAAATGTTGCTTTTGTCACAACCTGCTATTGAGTGTTCATAGACCTGTGCTAATACCTACCAGGGCACTTGCAAGTAATCACTAAATGACAGGGGATTAGTGTTCATTGCAGGATAATGTACGCTTTAAGGATTATCCCGGAATAGGATAATCCCATGTGATGGCTTCTGTTTCTTACCCAGGCACTTCCTACATTGTACACATGTATGCATGTACAATGTACACGAAATACATACACTGTCAGGTCTTCATGCACTTGAACATGTTCTGTACAGTAGGTACAGTCGGTTTACAATTTGCAAGCGAAGAAGACCTACCGGTATATATTTGCAAGTTATTGTTTTAGTTTGCACAAAATTCAAAGGGCTTTTTTTAATAGCAATTATTTTTAAAATCTATTTTCAGTTGTAGCATATTTCATGAAATATGCATGCATCTACTTATGTAAATTCATAATATTGTGTCCCATAATTTTCCCCTAAAATTCTGTCATTTACTAGATTTTATATTTTTGCTGGTTGAATATCAGGTTTATGATTCAATTTACAGTCTACAGGTGTATTTTTAAGTTTTAACACTTCTTGTTTTGGTCAGGTGTGAACCCTCGTTGTTAAAAAAATATCTGTACTAGTACAGATATTTTTTTAACTTTGAGATTCTGCTAAATTTACGTTAAAAACTATGTTGGTCATACATGTATGAGCATACACTGTAGCTATTGTAAGTTAATTGGTTGCTATTTTTTAAAGTCTATTGGAGTTTCCCCACGATGTACTGCATTATATTCTGTGTATTTTTGTTTGCTTCTGGACCACCTGCAATGGTACATTTTGACTTCAAGTGACTTCATAGAGCTTTTCAAAACTTGAAAGCTTCAGGTTTTAGCCATGGCACAAAAAGACTTACAGTTCATCTGCTAAGAGTCAGAAGGGCTTTAAGTCATATTTCTAAACACAAAGTTAATTCCCTTAATTCTGGGTATCAGTGGATAACATGAGACTCTAACAATAACACAAAGGTGGTGCAAAATAGGGTCATTACGGTACCTATTTATAGTACGCCATATTAAAGGCACTGAATTGTTAATGATCTTTATTACTGATTGCAAAGGAAATTATACCTCACTTATGACCCCCAATGACCCCCATTGATTGTTACCATACAGTTTCTGAAAGACCAAGGGGATGCCAATATTATCATTGCTCATTGTTGTTCTGTTAGTGTTAAAACCATGTTAAAACTTCTAACCATAGTGCATAATAGGGTCATTAATTACCTATTTATAGTTCGCCATATTAAAGGCTATGTTGTGGAACAGAGTATTCTTTGTTTGTTTCTTTGAATTGTTAATGATCTTTCTTGGTGATTATAAAGGAAATTGTACCTCACCAATGAGCCCCAATGGCCCCCATTGCTGGTTACTATACTTTTGGAAGACCAAGGGGATGCCAAATTGCCAATATTATCATTGCTTATTGTTCTGTTTATAGCATCAATGTGAATGTTTTGATGTACATGTACAAAATTTACACCTACATGTAGTTCATTGACTCCTCAAGGGCAACTTGACTCCTTCACCTACACACAGTATGTATCAATAATTATTTTACTACACACATCCAATACATGTACAGTGTATGTCTTCCTACTGTATTCAGTCTAGTTCAATGTCAAATTTAATTTTCATTGTCTTGTTTTCATTTATACATGAATGAACTTACAAGTGATAAACATGTAGTCTTGACCATAATTAAGACTATATCACTTGTAAACATGTGCAGTAGTTGTTATTACATTCAGACATTTGCAGCATGGCCATATTAAAAAATGAAATTGTTTTTCATAATTTCTAAGAAAACATCTTAAATTCAACATACATGATATTGTTAAATTGAGCTTTGTTGATTTTCAACATGTTTCAGGATCCAAGAGATGTCAATTTCACACATATCCCACAATATTAAACCATGAACCTAATAGAATTTGTATTAGGTTCATGATTAAACACAGGCGCTGTTAGGAAAGCCAATCTCAAATCCAATTTACTCAACAATGTTAAGTAGTTGGACTTCATTGAGCAGCTTTTTCTTCAAACTGTTTACGGTTGCCATAGCAACTTTCCCTTGATCTTCCATACTTGTGTAAATCTAATTTGTGAGGTTCGAAGTTGCTCATATGCTTTTTCTGGTGTAAGGGATACTCAGGGTTGAGTGATGGGATCAAGTTATTTTAAAATTATGTTAGTATGTGCCTTGGGGGATCAGAAGGCAATCCCCTATAGTCTCTTGTGCTTTGAAGATAAAGTCATGTGAACATGTATGTTCACATAAATTGCTAATGTGTAGGGGTATGACCTCATAAGAAAACTTCAAGGGAAAACTGCAGTACAGAATTGTGCCATGATTTGGAATCAAGGTTTAGAAGGTAAATCATACCTTACATTGTAAATGTACATTGCTTTGAATGATGTGACATGATTGTAAAAGAGACAGATTTATCAAAGTTTGAATGAAAATGGATAAAAGAAATTGGATCATCCTTTGCCAATCTCTTTCTCTGATTGTATGCTTTTGTAGACCATTGAACTTCATCATAATCTATTGATCAAGTTGCAAGTTTGTTATCAATCAATAGTTATTTTCACTTACCATACTAAAAGAAAAGATTTTTTTGTTATTGTTTTTATTCTCAAAAATTTGTTTCTTCTTATTTGATCAAAAGTTACTCATTTCAAAGCTAGTGTTCTCCTTTGAGGATACAGAAAGAGATTGGTTTTGCCATAAAATCTACATAGATGTTCTGTACATGACTTGTACAGTGTTATTGTGTTAAACTGATTAAAAAAAAAAAACGAGACAAGTTAGTGTCTAAATTATTTTTCAAAAACTCTTCATGTATACAATGTACAAAAATTGTACATACACAATTCCAGACACTTCTTTTCATTTTTTCTGCTAAGATTTTTAAATATGTAATGTATGTAGCATAGATGAAAAGGGGAGAATTTTTTTGGTGAAAATTATTGTTCACAATGATACACATTGGATCTCAGAGATTAACTACACTTTACTCCACTCTGCTCAGGGGTGCATAATGTTGGCATTCTAAAATTATGCTCACCAAAGCAGAGTTGGAAATTGATCCTAGTTGGTTGTAAAGATGTCTGCTGCCATCTCTTGTTCAATGAACACACACACATTGCTTGGTGCTTCTGTCTGTGATTCACATCCCTCATAAAAAGTAATTCAAAGTATCTGAGATGTACTGAAAGAATTGCTCTTCCCTTTTTTGTTGTTAAGAAAATAAAAAATAACCAGATACACGATTTATCATTGACAGCTTTATTTTCATGATAGAACAAACAGTATTAAGTTGAACTTTGCAAAAATGGTTGCTGTTGTTCATTGTGTGAACACATACAGCCATTTGGAAAAGTGAAATGTGTTCCTCCATTCATCCCATATTCAATTAAGGAATATAGGGCAATCAATTTTAATGGCAGGTTCATTCATGTACATGTATGCACACTTACAATACATTGCAATTTCAATTATTAAATTCATTCATTTGGTCTAGTGACATTTGCCCGCTTTTGAGCTGGTTGCCTTTGTTGTTTTCTGGTTTCAGAATTCAGTAAAAAGGTTATGAATATAAGATACATGTAGGAGTGTAAATTGTGTTTAAAAATTGAAAAGAATTAAAGAGAATATCAAAATTCGTTCTAAACTTTGAAGCTTGAATTGTTGTGTATTACACTATAATAATTACATCTGCTTTTACATGCCTCCATTCCAAGTATTATTCTTGGATCACAAGAAAAATAGAACATAACTGATACAGAGACAGAAAGAACATTTTTTTTCTTTCTTTCTTTTTCCTGAAATTCCGCCCGTATTAAAAATAAACCTTTGTAGATATATTAGATTACAGCATATATGTACATACCGGTAGAAGGTGTTTGTTGTAATGTTTTAAAAGGTTATATTTTAAATTAGAAATGAGTAAATACATGTACACTGTAGTATGAAGTTTGTAGGTAAAAAATGTATTTTCATCAAATTCCATGTACTTTGGTGAGGAATAATATTCAGAGTATTTTATTGCATGATGAGTATCTTTTCTGTTTTCTTATTTTGTATTCACAGCCTGAACATGATCATGAACAAGCACCAGTAAGACAATCAGTCGCAGTCAAAGATGAGTTGGTCTTCCAGCACACAAGTCTTGAGGACTCCTCTCCAAGACATGAGAACAATTTAGAGGTCATTGACCTTGAAACCAGAAATGAGGTCAAAGTTGAAAGTGAAGGAGAGTCAAGAAGAAACTTGGAGGATGTCAGTGATGACGAGAAGAGGAGGCGGCGGTTAAGCTTTCACTCTCGAGGGACAGATGAGGAAAGGACGTCATATGGGATTGACCCAGAGTTCAGAGGTGACCTACATGTAGATGGACAGAGAAGAAGGTCAAGAACATTGATAAAAGCTGAAAATCAAGGTCATGAAGATACTGCCACAAACATCAAGGATGAAGAAAAGAGGCCGCTGGGTGGAAGTTCAGAGGTCATAGGTCGTAGTTCAAGACTGAGAAGTGGTTCCCGGTCAAAGTCTCAAGACACAGATGATGATGCAGATAAACTAACCAGAAGCATTGATGGAAGGGAGGACAAATCTCCTAGAAACAAGGTATGGTCATAAGCAGGCTTCTCTGAAGGATCTTTTAAAACTCTTGGTCCTATAATTGAGTGATATGGTCTTATGGCAGCCCAGGAGTGATTCTAGACAATCAAAACAAATTTGTATGTTGTCAGTTTCCATTTAAACTAATGTAATCATTACCCTTCTCTGGGAGAAATTGCCCTTGCAATTTTTCATTTAAAGTCTCCCATGCTTACTGTGGCATTTGTATTAAGGGTTATGCATGGTGGTTATGCTGCTAATGACTTTTAGGTATTAAAGGTTAGGGTTAGGGTTAGAAAGGTTAGAATTATTTGTTGGTGTAGTGTTAGTTCCAGAGATGAAGTAATGCAAATATGTGAGTGTAAGAAATTTAATGTGGAGCCAATTTTGCTGGCTGGTGAATGTGTTGTATATCATAAAGCTGTATATTATTCTTGAAAAAACAAATTGTTTCATTTTAGGTTGGGACTTCATCCCCGCGAAGTGAAGAGCCAGCCACGGACAAGAGAGAGATGATAAGACAAAGAAGCACAGAGCTTGCTGCTATGGCTAAGAAACTTGAGGAAAAGGCTAAGGCAATGAAGAGTAGACAAACAACACAGTGGAAGGTGAGATGATTTAATTAATAGGGGGAGGAGATGCGAGGAGGAGACGGAGAAGGGGACGGGAGGAAGGGAAGGGAAGGGGGAGGTTGCTGTTACGGCAAAGAGGCGAGAGGCGAGATAAGTATAGATCTATAAACCAACAAAACTTTGAAAGTTGAGTGGATTTAGGTTGGGGGGAGGGGGAGGGGGAGGGGGAGGAGGAAGAGGAAAGAAGAAAAAGGAAGAGAAGGAGGGGGGGGGGGGGGGGGGTGGAAGAGGAGGAGGAAAGACAAAGAATAGAGAGAGTAAGGTGGTTTTTCTGATGGCTATTAAAGAGACTGGATGAGATGTAAAATAAACCAACAATTTAGTGAAAGCCAAAGGTGGCAAAGGGCAGGAGGGAGGGAAGAAAGGATGAAAGGAGAGAAGTAGGAAGGAAGGGAGGAGGGGGTGATGTCATAATGGCTTAGAGACTGGAAGAGAAAGCTAAGGAAATGAAGAATAGACCAACAACTTTAATAGTCGAAGGTGAAATGATACACAGTTCTGCTGATTTATTTTGAAAGCTCTGTGGGCCTGAATTGTATGCATCGCTGTTTGTCAGTCAAAGGGAGCTTGACTTGGACTTTCTTTTAGACATTTACACCAGAATTCAAAGGATGATCACAGCAGGAACATAAATATATCTGGCTCATATATACATGTATGCTTGAACAATATGAGACTATATTCAACAGGTTCCTTTTCAATTTCTTTTTTTAGCTCGCAGCGCTCTTTACCGTTACCATGACAATGTGTGGTGGCTTCACTGCATAATGAAAGAGCGTGTTTTTCTCTTCCTCAGAGTTTTCCTTCTCTACTCATATTAATCTTATTCTTTATATCCTCTATCGTCATGGTGATTGTAATTATCAAAATTAGTCTGTCAGCTAAATGCTATGAATAGAACGATGTGTAACATGCAGTGCTATTAAATTGGCTAGGTGTTGCCTTGAAATTCAAAAGCGATTGTACACAAAAAAGAGCTAATATTTTAGCTTGCAATTTGTTTTCTTCATGGATGAATAAAAGAAGTAGAAGATGAAGCAATTTATATGTAAAGAGATTACGACGTGGTTTGAAAATTCACTCTATAATTGTTCAATGTAATGTTAACATTACAGTGAAAATGCTGAATGTTTTAATACTCTGCATGATTAAACTACATTGTGGTTAGGCGAACATCGTTTGTGAAGAGCCAGAAGGGCGTTTACTCTTTTACTTTAATATAGAGTTAATGTCCTTTCTGCTCCAGACAAGCGAGTTATTCATTCTAGCTCTTAATAAATAGCCTTGCTATTTAACACACTATTTAACACACTATTTCAGGCACTTACATGTAAGAAGTTATGTTATTACATCATTAATTTTCATCAAATATAATTGGTTTCCAATTTGGTTACCCAGACCTATGTTTAAGGTTTTTACGAGGTACTTGACATGAGACAAATGATACCGATATATTTATGAGGTACTTAAAGGCATCGTTTAACAATGTTAAATCTGAGATGCATGACCTTGCGTGTTATCAGTGTCTGTGATACGATGCAATATTGAAGTCCTTAAAAAAAATTGCTCTTCAAAATGATCATGAAGTGCCTCAAAAAGTTAAAATCCTTGAGTGACCGGTTTTACCATACTCATTTCCCCCAATAGACTGTAGTGTTATGAAAACCGTTGGGAAAACAGAAAACTTGATTTCGATTTCTAATCATAAATATCTTGATAGACAGGCAATCGGCTTGTAAAAGTCATGGGGTTCTTGACTGACCTAAAAGGTTTATAATTATTATAGCAGCATGAGCTAAATCCAGGATTTTGTTTCAGAATCTGAGACAATGTTACAGAGTCACTTTAATGTAATATCAATACATTTCTACAGGAATAGGTCTCGACTTTACAGAATGGAATGCAAAAAACAATGAATATTCAAATAAATATGATGGACTTCAAACAAATATATATGCAAAACTGTTCTTAATGATCATTGGAAAATAAAATCATGCAAAATTCTTCCTATATTATTGTTTTTGCTTGAAACCTGTCGGCAGGTTGAGTGGAGAAACGAACTACTTTTGCACTATGTGACGTCAGACTTCCTACTCTATCATGTTCTTTTTTATCCAGGCCAAGCCCCCTCCCATACCAAAGGTACAAGTGTCTGGATGCATGTTTCCAAAATAAAATTGACCCTGTGATATTTGCCCATCGACTGGTTTCTATATTTCAGATTCTGCACGAGCCTTGCTTGCACACCAAACACGTTTCTCCACTTCTCTGAATTCTGTAGTCTAGGAGGGCAAACTCTTTTTTAAATTAAAACAAAACAAATTAAACTCAATATTGGATTAAAGACCATGTAGGGTTTGGTAAATGCCTCAACTTTTTTCAGATTTCTTTGATTTTAGTTGATAATAGCAAAATTTTTGTGATATTAAGCTAGTACTGAGGGTTGTTTTTTTCTCTTGAAGTTTAGCAAATGATAGGTACAAACATTTTGCAAATGTCACACGTGTGACCTGGCCAAAAAAAAAATCCATGACATCAATTTGCATCAGGCACAGTGTATATAAAAACATATGTCCTTGCCTGTTGTTGGCGATTTCTGCAAAACTCTTGCAATTGCTGTTCCGGGAAGCTGCAACATGGAAGGATCCTTGTGCAGAACGTTCTGTACATGTACATGTAGCCATGATCTGGCTTTCCTTTCAGATGTTTACACTAAAATTCATTAGATATCGTGGATGGAATATCATTATATCTTGCATACTTTTGACACAAGTAGAAGATTGCGATACCATGTTAAATGTTTAAATAAAAGACAGGTAAAACTCCCAACCTATTACCGGTATGCAAAAATTATTGTACCCTAGTTTTTGCAAAAAGACTGCTGAATGGACACAAGACTATATTCTTACTTTGTTTGTTTGTTTGTAAATTTACTCATTTCTTTTCTCCACTCATGCTGTCAGTTTCTAACTCTGATCCATGGTTTGTATACATGGAGGCGGACCTGAATAATTAATGAGATAGCTGTTTAGAAATATGTGGTCTGTCTATTAGGATGAATAGGGTCCACCCTGTAAAGGTGTCCCAATAGTCTTTAATTTCATACCCTATTGAATCACACATATTGGGTCACTGTGTTACAGTTTATATCATTTGTTAGGTGATGAAATCATACTTATCTGGTATATGAATGCACTGACATATCAGAGTGCTTAATAGTCAAGTAATGAAATAAAAATGTACGATAAAATACTAAAGCTGATTTTTTTTTCTTCCCCTTCTTCAATACCTGTACCATTTGACTTGAAGAAGACTTTGGGATCGATGCAGATGAATTTAGTAGAAAATTACTCTACATGTAGGCTACATTTAGCAAAAACATGTTGAATATCGACAAGAAAACTAAGACAGTAAACCTTGTTGGATAATGCCACAGGCCCATATCAAGGTTAAAGGGTCTGTTGCTACAGCAACCATTGACTATAAATAGATGAGAGCAGTTAAAAACCTTGGTTAGTTATAACAGGGTCTGAATAATCTAAACTGAAGACTAAACCAACCTCTAGCCACCATACTGTAGCTTTTCTGTTGTACACAAACGTTTTTAATGTAATTTCAGACTTGGCTAATATTGCCCTACATTTTGTTGAGATGTCAAAAAGAGTCTGTGAATGCAGACTAGGTCACACCTCACCGATTCTCAGTCCCAGCCAATCAAAAAAGTCTATCTTGGGGAATCTATTTCTGTTTATGGTCTCTTTATTGATCGTGCAGCTTGGGAGAGTTGTGGAGGTTCCGCCTTTCTTCCACCTTTCTTCCACCTCTGTCCCCGACAAAAGAAAAAGAAAATCAATAATTTTTGGTCAGGCCTCGTTCACTAAGGGTGTGCCTATCAATTGTTCATCCATTTGTAATGAACAGCCTTCATTTTCCTCTATCTCCTGCGGTGCCCCCTGCCGGTATTGATGATGGGCAGTTGATGGATGATTCAATGGTGGTAAATGCTGAACTGTTAAAGATGGAGGTGACTGGCCAACTTTCAAGGCTTTCAGAGCCACATTTGGTGAACTTTAGATTTTGGAAAGTGTTATGTACGCCCATATGACGTTTTATTGACTTGAGTCCTAAGTGGCCGCACGAACCAAAAGTTTGAGGTGTTTTTGTACAAGAAGGTGCTTGAAAAAATTGCCGAACTGGGAACTTTGTCAGATATAACTTCCAAGCTGGTGTGGAAAGGTAGTCTTTGGAATATCCCCATCTCATCCATTAATGAAGGAAAGGAATAGCAGTTGTCATTATTGTCAGACTTTTCCTGAAAGGATCGCTGATAGTGCAATGCCAACAAAACCTGAATGTAAATCTAGGAGAAACTCTTCAAAGGAATTCACTGTAGTTCTTCTGCACTTGTTGATGTGAAGCAACACTTCGATTACATTCATTGCAGTGTGTGTGTCTGTGCCGTCATAATTTGATTTCTCGAGTAAACAACTGATACTTGTTTGATTTTGATAAATTGGACCTGTTGAATTGTTTGAATGGTAATTAGATCAGTGACACCTGACATTCAAAAGAGAATACATTCAGAGACTCTCTTGGACTTTTCATGCCATTGCCTACTTGGAAGAACTTTGTCAGTGAAATTCTATGGTTTGCTGTCTGTCTTGGTGAATGAAATTCTTTCATCTTGTCATCAGTTACACTGGATATTTAATGGAATATTCACAAGAGATTATCTTTCCAAAGAACTGATGTATTTGGAACATTTTCCTGCTCCTATGGACCTGCTTGGAGTGCACTAAAAATATTGAAAAATAGCAAACAATAGCTGTGATGATTACTGTGTAACTCAACCAGACTACTGACTGTAATTTCTTATGATACACTGTACTTGAAAGAAGTTCTTGGCATTTCGTTTAAAGACATGGAAAAGTGAGCAGTCATGAGTTCTTTCTTCAGCATCCGTCTTCCTTTCGAGTTGTCCTTCTTCCAGGATGGACCAACGTCTCAGGATGATCCTACCGAGCTGACGGCAAAGACCACATCCCATCCTCCAGTCATCCAGGAGAGCACCACCACCATCCAACATCAGCAACGCATCCTCAATAACACCAACAACGCCCAACAACACCGTCGCATCCTCCCTAGCAACACTCCCCACCAGCACCGCACCCTCCCTGGCAACACTCCCCACCAGCACCGCATCCTACCTTCCAACCCACATCTCATCACCAACAACAACACAGACCCTATCATCCAGGCCAAGAGAGCAACGCTTCATCATCGTCATCATGACCACCTGGCGCTGACCAAGAGCAGTCGGGACAATTGCACCAATGCCTGGAAGGGGTCAAGAGAGGGTCTGGGTATGGGGGTCAATGCTGGTGTTGGTGTCAGGGAGGATGGTGGTGATGGTAGCACAAGGGAGGAGTTTCACAACCTCCTGCTCTCTATGTATAAATCAGAGGTAAATGGCAAAATTATTGAAATGAAGAGTTTTCTTTTGTAAAATTCATGTTCATTGCAGTGTCTACATTAGTTACTGAGGTGGACAGTACCAAACAAAAATTGCTGCAGTCTTAGACTTTGGTAATTGTTAATCAAATACATCTCTTCACTCCAACATAATGAAATTGATTCAAAAATTGGTTCATGTCAAGGCAAATTCCATCATGTTAATCCACTTTGCAACAGTTTTATAAGATTTCTTATTTTGTATGTCCTCCCTATATGCCTTATCACTACCTTTTAATAACAAATGCCTCATAAGCGACAATGCCAGCCTGGCCGACACTATCGGTTCATTGAATATTAGTGACCTGGGCATTGAGTGGCAGAGGCGATAGTGTGCAAGTGGGTGGAAAGTAGGATGTCAGCTGCCTCGGAATCATGCTCTCCTCCCTCTTTATTTTCTCCCTTCCATCTTAATTGTGTTTTTACCCTAGTCTGATACCATTCTCTTTGGGCCTAGCAATTATTTTCAAGACTTTATCAATTTGAGGATGGAAAGGAATGAAAGAATACTGCAGAGTGGTGAAAATATGAAGCATCTGTTAACAAATTTAAATTAAAAATTTCTTATTGGCCTTTTGTAATGTTGACACATGTTTTTGAGCAAATATTTGTGATACATGTTCATACAAAAAAAGAGGGAGAAATGTGACCGAAAGAGAGAGAAAGGTAGAGAGAGAGAGAGGGATAGGGAGAGGTATAGGGAGAGGGAGGGGGAGGGAGGGGAGAGAGGGGGAGAGAGAAAGAGGGAGAGGAAAGGGAGATAGAGAGAGAGAGAGAGAGAGAGAAAGAGGAAGAGAAATAGGAAGAGAGAGAGAGAGAGAGAGAGAAATGGGGGAAGAGTGAATCTGGTGGAAAAGAGGTTAAGAAGATGGGAAAAGATGAAAAAAGAGGGGGAGGGTAATACTGTAAGAGTAGAGGAAATGACAAGAAGAGACGGAAATTGATCAAAAGGCAAATATATATTTCATGAATGAAAGAAAAAGCATATAGAATAGAAACAAACAACCTGCAGGCAGGTGGTCATTCTAACATTGCAAGGCGATCTCTGCATTGATGTTGAAGTCACAGCCGAAAAGGGTAGTACATGTATCAAATTAGACCCATAAAGTGCAGTGGCCGTTTACGCAAGGGTCATTTCTTTATACCTTTTGCCTCACGCAATGTTTGCCCATTCTATTATGCTGCCCTTCTTGAGTTTAAGAAAAAAGGAAACCTATAAAAAATATAGTTTAACATTCACCATACTGAATAGTGACAATAATGTGTTTATTGCTCATTTCAACATCTTCCTTAATGTGATTCACAGAGACTTTCAAGAAATCAATGTTAGGGAAATTTCAATACCCTATTGCACTGCTTTTAGATATTCAAGTTCAGAAATACGTAATGAGTCATTATAGTGTTCAGAAAGTGATGCATTACACTACTGAAATCACCTTTGGTCGATTTTTCAAAGTTTACAATCATGTTCATCATACATTGTGTACAGGAAGACGGTAACCTTTATTCCCCAAGAGATTCAACCTCTAAAATGTTCTCTTAAAGAAATTTGGAAGAATATAGGATGGCATCTATTAGATGGAATAGTAATGCATTGTTAGACGCTTTCTGTGCAAAGTGCAATGACACAGGAAGATGCGATCCCACTATAGTCTGTTACTTTGCTCCCGTATGCAATGTCACGCATGCCCATCCTCGTCCCCATTCCCCCACCCTCCTCACACCACACAGTAAAACAGATGGTCAGGAAGCTTTATTTGAATTGTGTAATCATGAGGGAGGGGGGATGGGGTGGGGGATGGAGGATGGGGAGGTAGAGAGTGAGGGAGGGACGGAGGGAGCTAGGGAGGGAGCTAGGGAGGGAGGGAGCGAGGGAGGGAGCGAGGGGGGAGGGAGGGAGGGAGGGAGGGAGGGAGGGAGGGAGGGAGGGAGGGAGGGAAGGAGGGAGGGAGGGAGGGAGGGAGGGAGGGGGAGGGAGGGAGGGAGGGAGGGAGGGATGAGAGAGTGAGCGTGTGTGTGAGCGAGAGAGAGAGAGAATGGGGAGAGAGAGAGAAATAGAGAGAGAGAGAGAGAAAGAGAGACAGAGAGAGAGATACATCTTTATATAGAGTGCGAGAGATACATCTTTATATAAAGAGCAAGAGATTGTACTTATCATATAAAAAATAGAGTTCCAAATCGACCTCTTTCTCCAAGAATATTCACCTCTGGCTCAGGCATACATTGGAGTGCAGAAGGCATCTGCCCGATGAATACATCAAAGACCTGCTTTTCTGATGACAAATTGGTGCAACATCTTGAGGCATATTTTTCAACACATGTATTTAGATACTAATGTTCATCTCTCCGGAAATGATTCTGAAAAGTTTGCATTCAATAGAATTCTCTATCTAATGCAAAGTTCATTTTAAAGTAATAAAGTTATATTTGAAGTTTGTTAACAAAACTATTTAATTCTTTTATTTTTAGGGGGTAGGGGTTAGATCACAATGGTTAGATTAGACCTATCTGTGATATTCAACTACATGTATGTGACCAAAAACATACTGAAAACATTCAGGGAAACCTTTTAATAGTTTGTTACGAGAGGACTTTATCTTGTTTGTGCATTAGACTTATAGGAATGAATGTTAAACTAAACCAATAAAATCTACAGTATAGTAAATGTATCTTTGATTGCTTCTATGATGAGAAGCTAGATCAATCGCCAAGTTCCAGCTGTAATTTCAACAAAGGACTGCATTTTCTACAAGGATGAGAATTCTACCTTTATATTGGAACGTGTGCTCTGTCAAGGAATCTTAAGAACTGATGTGAAAGGGTTCTGACATGCTCATTGTAATACTGATATACATGTATATGGAAAGATACTTCGTAGTATTAAAGGTAATACAAGGTTTTGGTAATATTTCGACAGTATTGGATTACGAAATTTAAAATTTGCATTACAATTGTGAAACCTAGTGTTATAATAAGCAACTTAAAACAAATTGGGCTCTAAAACGCTAAGGATTTCAAGAAATTAAAATATCAAATTTATCGGTGCTCCCGATAAATTTCAGGTAGCGCCTATGGCCATACAATGGTAGCTGCTACAATGAAAATCTCAAAATTTGCAGTTCTGATATATAATTTCCAAATGGAAATTAAGTATGAAAGCACCAACTAATTAATGCTCTTCAGCCAAAAATTTATTTCAGTTGTGAAATGGTACATGTTATCAGAGCAACATCATGTTTGTAGCTTTTTTTCATTGTACATTATTAAAGGTGAAATTTATTTTCAGATACAAGAGGGTTTGGACATGCTCACTGTTATAGACTGTTACTAGAAATTAGTTGTCTTCATTATATATTTATGCATTTACTCAAGCTTTTGAGGGAAATTAATTCTTTGATGTGGAATGGGACCTTAAACATCCTTGCCATGTTTGCTGTTACATTAATGTCATGTCTGCTGCCGTGGATGACAGACACCGGCTATGTTTGTAATCGATAATTACGTGATTTTGTGGCATCAACCGTATTCCTTTGGGGCAATAGGAATATGTACTTGGTCTGCACTCTCCTAGTCTATTTCCTCCACCTTTTTTCCACCACATGTCTCTCTCTATTTCTTCATCTCTTTTTTTTTTTTACTCTCCTTTTTTTTTTAAACTCTCATATTTTCATCTCTATTGATCTTTTTATTTTTTCGTCCTTTTCCTTTCTCTCCTGTTATTGAACTAGCCCATGAATTTCCACCTTTGATTTTTGACCCCTTCCTCACTTTTAAAACTTCTTTACCTCCTCATTTTACATTTTCTCTCTGTCTTTTATGATTTGTGGTTGGTTGTCACTGTTGTTTCATTTTTACATCTGTCACATATATCATGGTTTAATGTGATAAAAATTGTCATAGTTTGAAGTCACATATGTATGTTTAGACACCTCAAATACATTGTAAATTTTACTTAATATTTTACTACACATATATAATTTAAGGTCATCTTGATACAGTTTGATAATGATCTACATGTTTTTCTTTCTCATTGTCATTAAAGAATCAACTTCACCTGAACGTAACCAATTACCATATGTTTTTTGATGATTCTCCTTTGCAGAGGACAGGTACAGACAATGCCCCCCTGGTACCCACTTCAACCACGCCCCTCTCCCCTACCGCCACCACTACTCCTACCAATGCCATCACCACTAGTCCTAAAGAGCCACCACGCCCGGCCACCTCCACCGGCATGGTACCGGATCTTGAGCAGATGAAGAGGATGATGGTCAAGCAGAAGGCCAGGGAGATGGCCGAGAGTGCACAGAGGGCTCTGGTCAGGGACCGGGACGTGGAGCATCTCAAGCAGGAGCTAGAGGCCATCAAGAAGACGCTGGATATCGGCAGGCAGGACCAGCTCATTGAGGTAAGCCTCACACTGCCAGCTTGCTTCCTCAGATCTCTGCTCTTGTGCTTTAATAGATATTTATATGATACTTTCCAACCAGAGGCTTTGTTGAGTTGTTTGGAATTATTTTTATTCATTTATTCACTTTGAACAAAAAACTTATGCTACTTTACACATATTTTTGTGTGTGTTATGATTGATTGAAACTAGGGCATGAAACATTTTGGAAGTTTTTGCATTGACAGAAGTCGTTGTTGTATGTATCTTCAGCCCAGACAAGGACTAGAAGATTGCCAACTCAATGTTGTACGGAGGCCCTTCTGATATCTTCTGTTAGCTAGGAGCCAGAATGGTGTAAACTCCCATAGATTAACACAGAGTTAATAAAGCCCTCATACATGTAGCTGTAAGCAGATAATATGTAGATTCTGACAGGAGATGTGACTTAGAGATATGGCAAAGAGAAAAGCCAAGAGTGACAGACAGATACTTTAATTGTCAGATTAATAAAAACTTGCTTTGGAGAAGAGAGAGAGAGCGAGTGAGAATAGGAATGAGAGATAAAAGGAGATCAAGAGGGGGAAGAGTAGAGATGGGAAGAGAGTGAGATACAGTCAGAGAGAGGGAGAGAGAGAGAGAGAGAGAGAGAGGGGGGGGGGGATAGAGGGAGGGAAGAGGGAGAAGGAAAATAGAGACTTAAAAAATCAGCGGAGCAAAAATACCATCCATCCTTTATTAAACTGACTTTTCCAAAGCCCTATGATCATGAATTATTATTATGATTATTACCACAGGCTGGCTCTAAAAGCCTGTCGTCCTTGTACAGAAAATAATTCCTTCATCTAGCCGGCAATCGTCCTATTCCACTGATTAAGATAGAAACCCTGATCCACTAACTAAACCTTGAAGTAGAAAGCCTGTCACTCAATTATGCAGTCCATTTCGGAGGGTTGTTTTCCTTTGCATTGTTTTGTCTTTGGATTTATATGTCATAGGGCATATTGTTTGACAAGGGCATTAAATCATATTCTTTTATCTGTAGGTAATGTCCTTCTTGCTTTCAATACAAGCCATCAGCTCATGATGCACTTTACGATTAGAGTGCCTTGGACAATAGGGGAGGGGAAGGGGAAAACAAAAGGTTTAAATGTCTGTTTATTTATGGAGCTTAATGGACATGATTATGATATACCTGTGCAATAAATGGATGACAAGATGAATATATCATTAAGATTTGAATTAATCATACTCACTTAACATTAGCTATCTGTTACTTTATTGATAATTTTTACTTAAAGTCAGCAAGAAGCATGCTTTTTATTTTAATTTGGTGTTTAAGATCATTCAAAAATCTCATAGTTTCTTTATTTTAATGTTTTTAATAGTGAACTTCTTCTTTTTGGTAATTATCTTCCTCAGAAGATGTATACATTTTTCTGCTTCCAGAAGAAGAAGGGAGAAAAAATAAATTTACGATGTGTTTCTCACAATGCATTCACCTTCTACATGTATGGGTGTGTGCAGGTACTTGACAATGTTTATAGAAACTTTTTGAATAATGTCTTTATCTGTTTAAGAATCAAATTTATCCCTATTGTTGGAGATTATGGCAATGGACAGGTGTTTAAGCTAGACATTTTTCACATATGAAATCATCTGGTTGCAAAGATAAGATATTTAAGATAAAGGGTAAATAATTATGTCATTGGTAAAGGAGCAAAGAGCATTTATCTATGGATGGGTTTGGGAGTTTTTAATGGTGAGTTTGTTGTATTAATACCCCTCCCCCTTTATAATAACCTGCATGTTGAATTACTCAAAATGAATTGTGTGGTTGAGTGAATTAAAAATACATTAAAGGAGATCACTTTACAGATTGAATGACATTAGCTCTTAAATAAAACTGTAAATTAGGCATCAAGAAATTGAAAAATGATGCAAACAAAATTGAGGGATTGTATCACTACCCTATTTTCGTTAATTACATGTATGATGACCTCAACAGGGAAGGGGTTGGGGGAGGAGGAAGGGGGAGGATATTGAATGGAGCTAAATATGCAGGTGGTAGGTGGAATAAGAGGAGGGGGGGGGGTGGAGGAGAAGAGAGAGGAGGTGGGAGACAAAATGATGACAGGGGGGGGGTTTAAGTTGGAAGAGAAGGAGAAGTAAGGGAGGAGGGAATAAAGGGGAGAGAAGGAGGAATAGGAGGATGGAATAAAGGGGAGAGAAGGGGGAATGGGAGGATGGAATAAAGGGGAGAGAAGGGGGAATGGGAGGATGGAATAAAGGGGAGAGAAGGGGGAATGGGAGGATGGAATAAAGGGGAGAGAAGGGGGAATGGGAGGATGGAATAAAGGGGAGAGAAGGGGGAATGGGAGGATGGAATAAAGGGGAGAGAAGGGGGAATGGGAGGATGGAATAAAGGGGAGAGAAGGAGGAATAGGAGGATGGAATAAAGGGGAGAGAAGGGGGAATGGGAGGATGGAATAAAGGGGAGAGAAGGGGGAATGGGAGGATGGAATAAAGGGGAGAGAAGGGGGAATGGGAGGATGGAATAAAGGGGAGAGAAGGAGGAATGGGAGGATGGAATAAAGGGGAGAGAAGGGGGAATAAGGGAGGAGGGAGAAATGGGACGGAAGTGGAGGAAAAGGAAAAGGGGAAGGAGGGAAGAAGAATGAGCATCCACCTTATTCTTCTTGTAACACGCTCCTTCCATTAATGCCATCTTAATAAACAAACCTTTGTAATCAATTCTTTATTTGCTCTACCGATAAAGTCAAACCTTATCTCCAAACACACTTTACATATATATATATATATATATATATGTGTGTCCTTCAGTCTAATATCTTAAGCTTTCAATTTTGCTTTGTGTATTATTTCTAAACATCCATACAAGCTCGACCTTCATTGGGCCTATCTCGTGTTTGCGGAACGCTTGTCTCATAATATCAGTCTGTGCTTTCATACCCGTCAGAATCAGAGTCTGTTCTTGGCATTTACTTTGGGATTATTAACCGTCTCGCCGATGTGTTCCTTTCCATTTCTTGAGCGATTCTTTTGTGAAGTAAACCTCAATTTTTGATTGGCTCGTCATGTTCGCCTCTCTCGCTGGACTTTGGCGAACATGAGGCTGTTATTGCATCGTTCGTTATCGCGCCATTACACTTGGGGATAGCGGAAGCAACCGACAAACATGCCACCCTTAATATAGCAACCTATGTTGCTTGGAAGATATCTAGGCTTTTCATATCTCAACACCTTTCTCCGACGTCAGCTCTGCTCTATACGATGTCAAGTCTGATTTGGTCGAAAAAAATGTCTAAAGATTAATGTTGCCAAGAGCATGATGAGATAGGGTGGTGTAATGCTTATGAAGCAGAATATTACACGTTTGGCTATTCGTATTAGCCATTTTGTCTTCAAAGTACAACTTTAAAATGCACGGTGGACATTATTTTTGTAGCATGCTGTAGGAATGATTTCATATCTTATGATGATGGTGTGTATGCTTTGGAGTTAAAGCACCTAGGGGACTTATGGCTTTGCATCCTATCATATGGTTTGAATAACTGGATTGAGTTACAGTGAGTTTCAATGAAGGAAAAAGCTGCATCACCTTGTTATATTTTGGTTGCTTTATAAACCTGTTACGAGTGTATATGACGTCTCAAAATGCATGTTTAGTGTAGGCAAGATTCCTCAAACTGCATTTCAGATTTCTCAAACTGCATTTCAGATTTCTTTAAAGTTATTTGATCAATTGCCACATATAGCAGCTGTTTTGATTTTTTTCCTGAAAGTGGAGTATTAAGAAAGGAGAAATGCAAAATAATATAAATCCTGGCCCAGGAAGTAAATTCTCATATTGTGACCGGTGTCTGTAAAATTACCAGGATAGCTGTATGGCGCATACATTGCACAAACATGTGGAATAGGCCATTTTCAAAATGTTATCAAATTTAATCCACAAATCTATGTTAATTGCCTCGCTACAATTTATCTAATTCACCTGTTACAAATAATTGTAATTCAATAGTCAGATGGCGAATTGCGTACATTCCGTGTTGCTAGGTAGGAAAATCCATAATGTTTGTCCTACCTAGCAACAATTAATGATGCAGTTCTCTTCGTAACAAGGCACCTTAACAAAGATTTATGCATTAAATTTGATTACATTACGAAAATGGTCTATTCCAGCGTGAGTGTGGTGTAGACAGAGATGCCCAGTGGCCTCGTTTTGGAATTCCTTTCAGATGTTAAAATGACATTAAAATTCATTGGAAATTATTGGTGGAACATCAAAATATCCTGACACATGTATATTTTAATTGAATTTTGAAATATTTTGTTTGGGATGATACCGTTAGTTGAGAGCCTGAAGGGCATTATTTCATATAGTTTTATATGTAGTTAATGGTTCTCTGGCTCTCAAACTGAAGGTATATGAGACCATTTTCATCGAGTTTCATTTGTATGAATATTACTGTCAGAAGTTTTTGTTTATAGCTCAGTCTAATTAAGCTTCATTACATTTGGCTTTAGAAGGATGAGACCTGAATAGTTTATCAATTTCACTAATTAAATTTTCATTAGTTTGATTATTTATTAGAGTTAGTATTTTTTGTCCATGTTTTTATTACTGATGATTAATTCTGATGATTGAGTTTTCTATTGTTTATTTTCTTTTATTTTTCATTCTGTTTTTTCTTCTTCTAATCAAAGTCACACTTTTTATAATTGCATTATTGTATTGATCTCCATGTCTGTGCATCTTATATCACTCCTCACCTCTCTCTCTCTCTCTCTCTCTCTTTATCCTTCTCTCTCTCTAACTCACTCTCTCTTTTTCTCTCTCTTTGTCTTTATTGCTCTCTTTCTCTTCTGCTCTCTTCCTCATCTCTCTCTCTCTTTCTCTCTTTCTCTTTCTCTTCCTCTTCTACTTCTTTTTTATACCTGCTCTCTTCCTCATCTCTCTCTCTTCCTCATCTCTCTCTCTTCCTCATCTCTCTCTCTTTCTCTCTTTCTCTTGCTCTTCTGCTCCATTTCTTACCTGCTCTCTTCCGCTTATCTTCTACTCTTTTCCTCCTCTCTCAATTGTCCTTATGTGATTACCCTTCCCACCCGTTTCTTGAATCTATGGAAACTGCTGTTAAGGATTTAATAGCCCCGCCTTCGATGATTGCTTCTCTATATCTCTGCGCATACCAATAAGATCCAAAGTGCTTTCAATGTAATGCCTGGAAGTGGCGAAATGATGAAAATAAAAAGAAGAGGAAAAAAACAACTCAACAAAAATAGTTATGTGTAGATGTCATGGGATGAGCGTACATTTCACTCACTCGTTAGGCTGACGAGCTGATTGCTGGACTAATCTATTTAAGTCCCGAAATGAACACGAGGCCATTTGCATATTGATCGCGACAAGATGGGGTAGTGAATTGGGCAGTCGGTGATGTGCCCAGTCGATAGAGCAAAAAGTAAAACATATCATAACACAGATATCTATCCAGGTGGCTTAGCCGAGCTAATGCAATCTGCCAAGTGAGTCGTTGATACATGTATTTCGAATGGCTTACTTTT